CTCTCTCTCTCTCTCTCTCTCTCTCTCTCTCTCTCTCTCTCTCCTCTGCTATGCGGACGATATGCATGCGCGCAAGCTCAAGCCCGCCCAGGGGCTACGTGGATGGTTACTATACCCCCGTGCATGAAATGTGCCCCCTTTATATAAAGGATTTAGTATGGACGTGTTTATATAGGTTTATACAGGAAATTGTATGGCAAAAACGCTTGCTCTGCCTACTTCATGCCATACAAAATAAACCAACTTTCGACAATAACGGCTACTTCTCTTACATTGTCCTCTCCTTGAGCCGGCGTTCCCTCTCCTTTAGGTTGGTCGCCTCATCCAATGTGTTGTTTGAATACCGCCCATGTGTCAAGATCGACTGGGTAAATTTTGACGACTTCGGATATCTTTGTTCCGGAAGCAGCCCGAGCCGCTCGTCACCAGGATCGACGGCGACGGGGTAGAATGGTGGACCAAACGGCCTGCGGACTCCTCGGTGGTGGTTATTCATCCTTTGATCGACGGACCCTACTTACCTGAAAGCAAGATCATATGCATGCTTGGTTTCATGGGCCGTCTACCACCAAGTTGAGGCCACACGCCAAACGCCCCCCCAAAAAAAAACACCAACGGTGCCAACCGTTACTGTTGTGGCATACCGCCTCCTGGTCTGTGGAGCTCCTTATTGCGCCGCACCTCACGGCCGGCGGCAGGCACGTCGGCACGTCAGCATGTACATGCTCCGCTCGTACGTCCTACGAGCCTACGAGGTGAGCCGATGCTACAACTCCCAGAACGATCGTAGTGAGTGTATTACCTCTAGCTTGTTTCCGTGACGTTCAGTTCATGCTTACGAAGCACGATGATATGGCAGGCTAGTGTAGCTTTCAGCAGCAAGTGCACATCATGTGCACATCTCCACAATCGGCCCTTTCCTTTTCCGTAGACAAGCATTCTAGTCTGTAGCAGTTGTGCCAACATTCGAAGTATCGGCGCTGCCTGCTGTCATTGTGCACTACCCGTGCATGGTCGTCAGGGTGCAGGAGATCCATGCAACAACGCGGACTACAACGAGTCAGTTCTCTACCCACGGCCTGCTGTTGATGACGGCGGAAACAGCAAAATGATTACTTCTCTGTAGATCTAAACTACATGTACAGTGAATTACGCTGCTGTGGTTTGACACACCCTCTCCGGTGGATTTCGGCCATACGTGGCAATGCCGCAGCTTAGCCTCTGCTGGTATTACACAGCAAATTAGACATCCGCAGCTTGTAATCGATCGTGTGCAGATTGCAATCAGCAAGGTCAAGAGATTCCTCCTTCGCTTCACGAACACCCTCAATAACCGATCGTAACGTCCACACCTCCAATCTGCCTGTAAACTCGCTCCTCCTTGTCATGGACCCTAACCCAGTTGACCCACCGCGGAGCCAAGCACGCTTACCATGACAGCTAGTTGTGGCGTTCTGGGCTCCGCGACCTTCCTTGTCGCCGTGAGCGGCTTGCTTGACCCGCCGCTGGTTCCGCCAATCGGACTCTCGCCCTTTCACCCGAGTGCCCCCGCTCCGCCACCGAGCTTGTTTCGGAGCGACAAGCGTCGGGGGTCTTTTTGTGGGGGACCATTGGCGTCGACGGCGCGCATGCGCAAGAGATGTCTCCAAGCGGGAAACGAAAGCCCGGGGACAGGTGACGAAGGGGTGAACGCGGCGGCGGCGGGGCGCAGGCACGGGAGCGGCCACGGCATGTTCGACGCCGACGCGTGGAAAAACATGCCTTCTTCCCCTCCACTAGTGACGGCGCCACCGACCAGCCTAAACCCCTCCGCTGTACAGCTGAGCGCTAACGGCGCCCTAGATGATGAAGGAGGAGTGGAAGGGCGGGAAGAACCCATCAGCGTGTACGTGGATAAGCTGCCGACCTTCGTGTTTTTCGTCAGGGACAATGGGCGGCATAGGCGGGAGGAAGTTACCGGTGGGCGCGACGCCCGAACCTGCGCAACTAAGCTACGCGAAAGGTTAGCATCTATATCGTCGCCGGGAAGCACCTGGACTAATTCGGGTTCTCTTGACGACAACGACTCGCCTCTACGGCCATCTGGAGCGGGAGAAGGAGGAGTAGGTGGCGGTGTTGCTAGAACTCGCAGCGATGGTGCCGCTGTAGTTGGGGGGGCTGCAGAAGGTCCGAATCGTCTTGACAATGAGACCGACACGGGCATGGGACGCGGTAACGGTGGCATGGGCGCAATTGTAGACGGTACAGGCAGCCCCACCAACATCGTGGAGATTTCCGACAAGCGCGAATTGCTTCGAGTTCTTGGCGCACGGGGGGAAGGGCAGGGCCCAGTGGTGGTCATGTACCACGCCCCTTGGTGCCGCAAGTGCGCCTACCTCGCCCCCGTGTTCCGCCGCCTCGCTGCTGCTCAGGCAACCTCTGTTGGCGTTACGAAAGCCGGCGGTAGTAGCAGCGATAGGGGTTCATCAGGAGGGCCGTTGTTCTGTCGTGTGGATGTTTCCGACCCGTCGTGGGGGAGGAGACGTGCTGTGCGTGGTTCTAGCGTAGCTCCGGCTACGGTCGCTTCCGAAGGCACAGCAGCAGCAGCAGCAGCAGCGGCGGCGGCGGCAGCGGCGGCGGCAGCCACAGCAGTAGTACGACGAGCACGAAACAAGGCATCCATCGCGGCTGGAGCATCGTCACAAGCGCGAGGACTTGGAGTCGGCGACCGTGCCGCCGGATTGATGGCAGCTGATGCCACTGCCACCCCCGCTAATGCGGAGGGTAAAATTGCCGAGACGGAGCTGCTACACGCCGGTTCACAGGCCGTGGAGAACTGCGACGTCTGCGGCGGGTCCGGCTTCGTGCCGTGCGGGGAGTGCGGGGGGCTTGGGGCGGTGTCCCGAGCGAGCCCTGACGGGAAGCACACAATGGCGGTCACGTGCTCCTCGTGCGTCGGCTACAAGCGGTTGCGCTGCCCGTCGTGCGGCGGGAAATGTTACATGTGTGATTAAAAGTCCCAGACTCAACAGCAATGCAAGCAACCAGGACAAGAGAGGAAACGTTAAGCGTATACCTGTGTCGTTAGAAGTCTTCCAAGTGGGTATCGCACCGGCAATCGCTGCTGTGTTTGTGGTAGGTGCGGAGTCGCTGATTTCTTGTATGGAGGCGCGCTTTCAGATAGCTGACTTCCTAGAAATAGAGTAGAGCTCGTAACCCTTGAATTACGGTGCCGGTGTGCCTGAAGCTAGTGGAAATGTCTTGATCATGACAGTTGGGGGTTTCCCAACCTCAACTTTCAGAGACTCAGAGATCTCGCTGACGGTCTTGCTGGTGCGGCAGTGGTGGTCCCTGCAGAATGCCGTTTGCCCTGTCCATGGCCGGTGACATCGTGTGGCGCAGATGGCATGATCTTGAACGGTTTCACACAGTCCCCTGAATAGTGCTGGGTGCCCCGGTATAGGGTCAGCCTATTCCCTTGACACCATGCGGCCGTACACATGGACCACTACTGCCGCGTTGGAAATTGTGTGTGTACGGAGGTACCGCCGCATGGCCTTCCACCGCTCCTTCGTGGGTTGTGGGTGCGCTATTACTCAACCCTTTCGGTGACATGTGGTCGATGTAAGCCGATTGCTCTTCCTTTTCTAATTCGAACGTGAAATGCATGGCTGGCTGTAGTGTACCCTTCCGATGTTATGTTGTTGTTGAAGCGTTTTCTACGGCACTCCTACCAAGGCGGAGATGCGTGTAGAACCATTCGAGTCACGACGGGTGACAATTCAATCAAGAAATGGCCCTCTTGTTCACGTGCACCAGAGTGTCCCTGTACTCGGCAGCAGCGCATGCCTGTGTGGTGGCAGCAGTCGGGGAAAAAGGTCCAGCTTGCTGGCGCTGAGTTCGCTCGGGATGTCGAGTCCGTGCGTAGGTCATTGCTCAATTCAAACCCTCAGTGAAAACTTCGACTGCTTGTCGTTTCCGCTCTCCTGAAAGTAGATCCGACCCGGGAACACGCAGGCTGGAGAAACCCCTGTCTTGCGGTCCAAACCATCGTAAATAGATAATCTAGATAAAGTCAGGGACGCTCTGCCTTCTATCTCGACTGGGAAATGCATGCGCGCCACACGCGCCCCACCCCGGAACATCGGTTAGATGTATATATGACTTGTTGGGTGCTTTAGGGCGCGCCTCCCGAGATCCTCTGTCTCGGTTGTACGCTCTATCAGCGCGAGGTGCGACCTTCCGCCCATGACTTCGAACGGTCGCTCGAATTCCACCTGGCGGCGATGAAACAAGAATAGCGTGGCACAGCGGTGGTAATTACTACGGGGACCGCACTTCGTACATCGGTGCCGCACAAATGTAGATGTTTCAGCTTCTTGTCCTCGGAATTCTTCGGAGTAGATTTTTCAAAGAGTTCCAGCATTTTGCCACGACGCGGCGGCATTGCCTGAATGAAACGTAGACCCTACAGTCATTCCTCTGCTAACCAGTTGTTTCGAGGTGCGCTGAGCGAAAAGGCTACGTACCAACCACCATGTGTTTCTATTCGCAGCGCGGAATTTCCCTTCTATTCTCTCAATATTCATTGGATGTGGAACTCTCTTAACCTCTGCAAACAGCCCATCTCGAAACGCTCTCTCGAAAATTTCCCGTGCCCCGCTCTCCACGAGCGCCGGCCTTTGCCTCCTCAACCACAAGGCCGGTAGCCGCCTTCTCCTCGACCTTAGCGCCGTCAACAACATCCTTAACCCTGACTCTCCGACGCAGTTCCCGTTTAGCCGGAGGCACCGCAGTCGATCAGCCGGCAGTATCTGCAGGGCTATGGACAGGGACCGGACGTCGCGGTTCTCCAAGCCGGCGTCCTGGATCGACAGTGTTGCCAGTGACGGCAGGCGCTGCAAGTGCCGGAAAAAGCAGTCCCAAGCGGCGTGGGCTTCTGCCGCCGCCTTCTCCGCCGAGACTGACGCCAGGTTTGACGACGAAGTCTTGCGGCCGTGGTGATGGCGTCGACGGCGTCCCTTCGGCCGCCCGAGGCAACAGTTGCTGCGCGGTCAAACCAGTCGGCGGGCGACAGGGGGCGACAGGGGGCGACAGGGTATCGAAAATACGGGAGGGGGG